ATCACAGGAGAAGCCAAAATTACAAGTGTTGAAATACCATGCAGAAAACAAATTGAAAATATAAATCAAACATGGAACATGAACTTTGGGCAACATACAAACTGGACACAAAGCCTAGGGGAGGGAAAAGCCTGTTTGACCATCAACAGGTACAGATTTAACACACAGCCCTAAAAAAGCTTGAGGCAGCACCAACAGTGCTGCTCAGTGTGTGACGTGTTTCTGGGAACATGTCTATGTGGTTCTCAGCAAATCAAAGTGGGGCACATCCTGGACATGTCAAGAAAAACAGAATATGAATACAGGGCTGACATACCAAAGCTCATGGGAGCTTCCAGCTACATGGGATACATTCCTCTGTGACTTCTACTGCTATGAAACAGTAATAGCTCCACTGACCTTCAGAGAGTTACACTGCTGTAAAAAGTATGTGAGAAGAACCAAATCCACTGTGTAGACTGGCCCAAGTCACTTGGCCAGCATTTCAAAAGCAGCTTATAATTTTGGCTGTCTCAATTTTTGAGTGTCTTGGTGTCTTAAAAAAACCACTAAAAATAAAGAGCCAAAATTACAGGTTACTTTGCACAACTTGGGCCTCAGTTTCTCTGGACCAAATTCTGGTGCTACTTGAACTTACTTGTAATTGAAGCCTGGAATAAGTTTCTTGAACAATACAGAGCTACAAAAAACTTTCACTAGTACAGATGAGAGCAGACTTGCACCGTCTGTGCCTTAGGCCACTCATTACCAGTCTGAAGTCACTCGGCCAAATACTCAAATGGAATACATTTGTCATAGCTACTCTGGAGCCCCCATACCTGTTTGCACTGGCTGAGAATCCAACTCAGTAAATCCCACTTAACTAATTTACATAGCATTATGAAATTTAATAATTTAATACACAGAGCTTGGAAGATAACAAGTCCTCAGCCTGATAATAACTCAGAGTAGTGCCAAACAGAACTCCGCTGTTAAGTGGAATTGCAGAAAGATGAGAAATTAATTGGATCTACTGCATGTTAGTGTATGTACTGAGTCCTACTACTACCAGTTTTCTGCAGATGCCTCAGTTCAAATGACTGTGATATCAGGGAACACAATGGTAAAACAGAAAAGCCGTAAGAGACAACACTGTCAATCACCAACACAACAAAAAGCATGGGAAAATACATGTAAAGTCTTTCATCCAATGAAAATCAGAGCAGCCCGCTTTCTTTTAATTTAGGAACACGCTGTGCTTGCCTGGGGGCTGTAGGGGCAGGGAAGGGAGAGAGGGTCAGATCTCCCTAGGATTGACCCAGGTTTGAAAATTCACAGCAATTAAAGCGCTGAGAGCCAAACCTCCCACGCATCCTTCCCCTAAGTGTCAGGAAATGGTGTTCCCTGATTGCTCAATTGGTAGGTCAGATGGCTGGCCTGGAGGGACTAGATGGGTTTCTGGGATTCCATTGGACCTTGGGGGAATTTTATGTCAGCTAAGGCAGATGGAGCAAACTGGGAGATGCCTTCAAGATGCTGTTCAACTCTTGCTGTGCCTCCCTCCCAATAAAATACAGTCAGTACACGCCATGTCTGGGCTCAGTAAGAAAAATTTTTGCAACTGATTTCAAGATGAACAGAATGATCTCCATTACACATGAGGAGCACAACTACAATAAACAGCAGTGATAGCAGCAAACAAGTGATACAGTGTGGTAAGGACACTAGGATATCCAGAGAATTTATTTACTCAGCTCTGTGAAACCATGAGGCTGCACTTCATAACACAAAATACAGACTTTTAAAACCTCAGGGTTGCACTATGACCGTCATATGCTCCAACAGGGAATTGCTTTCTGTTTCACAAAGTAAAACTGACAAGAAGTCTGCCTTGTCCATAGTGTGTTTGTTTCTCTTGCTTCTGGGGTCACCTGTCCACCAGTAGAACTAGCAATTTCCTGGCTGGTATAACCTCATCCAATCTCAAGGATGCTGAGTGATGACCCATGCATTCCCATGCAACAGTAAATTTATCTCCTGCTAGATCAGTGTCTCCTTTCCTATTCCTCCTCCTATCCCTGCACTCAGTGTGTCACTTTCCCTCTGAACCACAACCAACAGCCTACAAGAAACTCCCAGACTTGCAACCCTACAGGTAGCATCACTCACTAGTGGGATGCTGAGCTGGAGGATAGAGAGAGGAATTGTGACACGGAAAGGAAGCAGTCCACTTAAAACATCTCAAATCTGGAATTACGTCCTCCTTAGTTCCTCTTCTCACACTCCAGCTTTCAGCAGTTCTGTATATATTAGTTCTGTATTGCCCAATGCAGTTCAGACAAATTGTTGAACCGGGTAAAAGTGTCTGTGGCTCCCAGACACTTGTCTTGGCTTTGACAGCTCTCAAAGTTTTATTGGGGCATATAGGTTTCTAACAAGTTACTATGTTTCTTGAGGATATTTTTTCTTTCATATTGCCAGCCAATGTGATTAGACTGTTGCTGAGAAAATAAAGCAGCTACTTGGAAAAGGAGCTGCTAGGCTACTGGAAACAAAATCTAATAAGAAATATGGGGGAGAGGAAAAGAATTCTGATATGTCACAGTAAAGTAGCTCAGATCCCAAACTGATTCCTTCCAAGTCTGAGGACTTCACTTGCAAAGTACATCCCTGCAGGAACTGGCTCTGAGGTCCCTTACACGTGCAGTCAGTACGGTTGTTTTTTCTTCAGCTCAGCCTAGCTTGTTTTACACAGTATGGCATGGCATCCCTTAGTAGGGATTAGACCTTGAACATCTGCCCAGTAAAAGCCACCCCCATTACATTAGCCAGCACAGTGGTTACATCAACCTGCAGTTGCTTTCAGCACAGCTAACTACACTCGCTCAATTTCATTTTGCAGGGGAGTTCCTTGCAAAACTCCCTCCTCCCAGTCCTCACCTTTCCTCCTTTACTTCCTTCTCCCTGACACAGCTACCCACTTTGCCACTCTCAAGAGGGAAAGTATTTGCAGAATTAGTCTATTACCAAAACAAATCAACCCAGGGACCACTGACTCGAATAGCCTTTCTTATGCCTGCTTGTTGGCTGAAGCCAATTGCTAACAGCTCAGTGCATTATATTGTGCAATTCACATAGCTCCTGCTTCTCAGCCCAGCTTTGTGTTTATGTTCAAGGGCGTCATCTCTCCTTCCAGCACCTGCAAAAAACAAGCACCCTCTCACTGGCAAACTGCTTTCTAAAGTTACAAGTGCTAGCTAAGTATGTCAGCTTCACACAGGAGGCTTCAAACTCTTCCATCTGCCTGGGGAAATGAGCCATTTTCTGGCATGGGTCTCATTAGAGAAGATGCCAATGAGGAGGACAGTTGCCTCCACAGATGTCCCCAAAACTGCTCCCATCTCTACCTGGGGAATGAAGAAGGGACGTCAAGGTGTGGGCTGGGTGAGGCAAGGTTAATGCAGCACTGAATTTTAATTGTAAATAAATACAGCTGAGTACCCCACTGAAAACACTGCCTTCTTATGGCTTGGGAATCTCTGAACTGCTGAGATTAAAAAAAAAAGTTATCAGGAGTCACTAGCATTTCTTGGGACTTGCACCATGTGTCCATAGCATCTCTGCAGGTTTTTCACAGGGAGATTCTACTTGTAGTAGCTGTCTCCTTCACGTATCACCCTGTTACAGCTTGGTTTTGGATGAGAGATGCCTCTTTCCTCTGCAGAAGCAGTGTGTTCTCTGGAGAGCCCTTAGTATCAAGCTAGTACAGGCTCAAGGTGCTAAATTTGTAAGATTTAGTGAGTGAGACCCCATACGCATGTTAGGATCTGTTACTGTCCACAGCCTGGCAAATAGAGTGGGACAGGACTTCATTGTCAGCGCGCCAGGAAACTGCCTGCCCTCCCCATAAGGAAAGACAAAGTGCTTGACGCAAAATATGTCAAGGGATTAAAGAGTTAAAAAAGAAATCCTGCATTGTGAAATTGCCTAAGGAAGTTGGGGTTTGCCTAGAGCTTATTTGGAATTTTGCTGTCCTGCTACCAGAACATGAAGGAGCTGGATTTCAGTTAGTTTTGTAGTCTTCCAAAATACGTCCTTCCCTCCCTCTCTCTCCTTCTCCAGCCTCCCTCACCCATCACCCCTATCCGCATACAGAACAGTGAAAAAGCCTGCACTGTCAGGCCCTCTGCATACCTTTGGGAGAAGCAATCAAGCCAAACCTGAATCCTGTGTGCTGCCAAGCTGGCTTCAGGATGTTTCAGAGGAGAAAAAAAAAAAAAAAAAAAAAAAGGGAGATTCTACTTGTAGTAGCTGTCTCCTTCACGTATCACCCTGTTACAGCTTGGTTTTGGATGAGAGATGCCTCTTTCCTCTGCAGAAGCAGTGTGTTCTCTGGAGAGCCCTTAGTATCAAGCTAGTACAGGCTCAAGGTGCTAAATTTGTAAGATTTAGTGAGTGAGACCCCATACGCATGTTAGGATCTGTTACTGTCCACAGCCTGGCAAATAGAGTGGGACAGGACTTCATTGTCAGCGCGCCAGGAAACTGCCTGCCCTCCCCATAAGGAAAGACAAAGTGCTTGACGCAAAATATGTCAAGGGATTAAAGAGTTAAAAAAGAAATCCTGCATTGTGAAATTGCCTAAGGAAGTTGGGGTTTGCCTAGAGCTTATTTGGAATTTTGCTGTCCTGCTACCAGAACATGAAGGAGCTGGATTTCAGTTAGTTTTGTAGTCTTCCAAAATACGTCCTTCCCTCCCTCTCTCTCCTTCTCCAGCCTCCCTCACCCATCACCCCTATCCGCATACAGAACAGTGAAAAAGCCTGCACTGTCAGGCCCTCTGCATACCTTTGGGAGAAGCAATCAAGCCAAACCTGAATCCTGTGTGCTGCCAAGCTGGCTTCAGGATGTTTCAGAGGAGAAAAAAAAAAAAAAAAAAGAAAGGCAAGCGATACTTGCAGAGATTTGTTCTTGAGAACAAGCAAAAACACAAGAAGAGTTGCTGCAGCAGCTGCACTTACACTGTAATGCTCGTGTCTCTACGCAGTTCCTCCTTGTTCTGCAGTCCTGTAAATCCACATAGAGAAATGCCTGTGCTGCTGCTCTTGATGGCTGTGCTGCTGTAGTCAGACTGGAACTGCTGCTGTTTTCACTTTCTGACCAGCCTCTCTCTCCAAATCCTCTGACGTCAGACAGCCTGTACGAGATATTTATGGAATGAACAATCTAAAAGTTTCTCTAGGTAGAGCCCAGATTGCAGTTTTTGGGGATTTGTAATTTTTACACTTTTGGATAGAAAACCTCTCCATGGGGGGTCAGGCAGGAAACGGTGGGGAACTACAGATGTGGTTGTGCAAGTCCCTAGCAAAAGACAATCCCTGTACTTTTCTGCCCAGGGTATATTATATCCACACCCAGGATGTAACTATCTGTCATGCAAGTCCCCATTTGGAAAGCAGTATTTTCCAGTCTCTCAGCTGTGCCTGAACAGTTTTCACATCAAGCCTGCAAAGGCCCCCACAGACACACTCTTAGCCTACAGCCCTCTGCTGTGCCCAGGCTTTGGCTGGATTTAACTAAAACAGGAGTGAAACAGCACTTCCAAGCATCTTGTCCACATCCTTTTTCAGTTCTGCACAAACCCCTTCCAGCTGGAATGTCTTCCCAGGCACGTGGGCCAGCTTCCCTCCTAACTTCAAAATAGTTTCTAAAGTGTCTCATCTCAGATGAATACCAGCTCAGAAAATTCATTTGCTCTTTGATCTCTATTATGCTCTGCCTATTTGCATCTATATTTCTGTTATTTCTTTGGTACTGAGAGTATGACACGTTTCACCTGCTGTGAAATCCACTTACACTTTATTTAGAAGAGATGCTAAAGCAAAAACTGAAGCAGAAATATTAGCCTTAACATTAAGCAGTACTTGAAGAGTGAAATGCTCTCATGTTATAACCCTTCTGAGGCAAGTGATGATAAATTTGGACTGATAAGACCTCTTTGTTTTGCATTTAGGAGCTGAGCTTAGCTACAAGCCTGTAAGTATCAGTAGTCCTATCCAAAAGATGAGGAAACTGAGGGCTGAAGTTGAAGTGTATATGCTGAAAGTTCTTGAGTGAGGCTTGCCTTATTACAGGCGGACCTTTTTAGGAAGTTCAAAGCTTATTCAACTTTTTCTGAAGGAGTCTACAAATGTGATGCTAATATAAGCAACTGTTATTTTTTCTTTATACCCAATCATTTCCATTTGTAAACAGTTAGAAGAAGTATGTGTCTTGGTACCACTTTTGGAGAGGAAAGTGCTATTTCAAAATGTAAAGCCAAGGTTCTTTTCTGTGTAACTTACTGGCAGAGTAAATTTTCCATTTGGAGCTGCGTGGATTACTTTTTTCATATACATATGCTTTCTCTTTTCTGCTCTACCATCATCACATTTGGGCATGAGCCACAGCTCTTTGAAATCAATAAAAATCATCTGATCTACTTCAAAAGGCTTCAAGTTTGCTCTGATAATTTTCTAATGGCAGCTAGCCCCATACATTGCCATATCATCACTATGACCGAAAGCCCTAAGATAAATTCCAGAAGAAAATGGTGTCTCTTTGAATAGATTTCCACCTTTATACTTAAAATATAGGTCTAAGAATCTGGCAGATGCAAATATTCCTAGCCTCAATGCAGTATTCTGTCAAGCAAAAGAAGTAAAATACTTTCATGTATAATGAAAAATAATAAAAAGAACCCAGTTTTGACAATGCAACCCAAGCATTGAACAAGTGGCATTGTTGTTCCCTTTGGCCATCAGATCTGCCACTTGTGTACTTGTCCTGGTTTCAGCTGGGAAAGAGGTAATTTTCTTTCTGTCGATCACTGCGAAAGGCATCTCAATAATGCACTGTTTTAGTTGTTGCTAAGCAATGTTTACACTTTTCAAGGACTCTTTTCAGGTTCCCATAGAAGCCGAGAAAAAGCATAGACAGAACAACAGAATGGCCTATGCAATATTCTGTTCCACGGATGTCATGTTCGGTATATTAATGTGGTTGGCTGGTAGGGGAGGAACCTGTTATCACTGCTCTGGATGGTGCCAATTCACCAATTTACCAGGTGGTAAGAGTGACATGTGTCTTGTAAAATCTTTTAGTATTATTAGTATTATTATTATTGATACTTTCCTTTTCTGATATTGTTCTATTAAACTGTCTTTTTCTAAACCCATGAGGATTTTTTTTGCCTTTGCTTCCCCCTCCTTTTCTCCTTCTTCTCCCTACCCTTCTAGGGGGAATAGGGCAAACTGCGCAAGCTGCTGCATACCCCTGATTGCTGGCTGGGGTTAAACCACAACACTACTGAAGATCAATAAGGATAATTCAGGGCATGAGTCCCCACACTGCCATTCTGCATACTACTCTGACTGAAGATCATCCCTGGAGTTACATTGCTACCTGTTGGCAGCCTATCCCATAGATATCCCCAGAGATCTCCAAAGGGCAGAGTGATTCAGGGCTTCTCTGTAGGATACCAGAGCTCATACGAGGCAAGCATTTTTGGAGAGTGAAAATAAACTTTCTGCACTGGACCAACGCAAGCATAGGCATTGCTCAGCCCTAAAAAATAGGGAAAACAGTGAGACCTTCTGCATCACTAGCACATGACTGACAAAACAAGAGAGCGTGTGTTCCTCAGATCCCAGCCAGTCTCAATGCATGTTCACATGAGTAACTACAGCAGTCCAGTTGTCACTCCCTTAGTGCTACATAACAAAATAATAAACCAAAGGAAATGAAACCATATTAAAATACTGTTATTGCTGCCATAGTGGAACAGACCATTCAGCTCTCTAGTCTAGTACACTGCCTCAAGCAGCGGTTAGATACCTGATGATTCAGAGTATGAAGAATGGAAAACACACTACATCCAACTAGTTGTGGGCTGGAATATTACCTAAGAACTGAGGGGTAAAGAGGGAAGAGAAAGTCTTTCTCGAACCCCGCAGCTGATCAGTTTACACCCCAAAGCATGAGGTTGTTTCAGACACTGAGGTTTTTTCCTTGCACTGGTATTGCTCTGAATGTTATTTCTGCATATATTTCAGTTTTGGGAACCTGCCAGATTTTTTTCCAATCCACTGAAGTCAGGAAATGCAAAGTTATGGCATATGTTCAAAAGTATAGCACACACCAAAGCATGCAGAGAGCTCTGTCTTTGTCCTCAGATGCACACAGCCTTGGCCATAGTTTTTAAATCCACCCAGTGATTTTCCTTCCACTTTGCATGACAGAAATCTATTCTCTGTGTACCTTTGGCCTCCAGATTTAATTCTCCACTGTGCTGACCAGAGTGAAACAACTTACAGATCTCATAGACATCTTTATTTCCAAGGTCTGAAGCAGTACCACGGCTTACAGGTGCTAGGAAACAGTCTAAGTGATGGGAAGGGAAGATGATAATGTGTCACAGACACATATGCGCCAGCAAAAAGGATCATTCTAAGACACTGCCACAGCCATTTTTGGCCCGTGTAAGGGATTGTCCCCTGCATATCAGGAAAGGAGGAAGGAAGCACTTTCTGGTTCTGTAGCACAGTATAGCTGAGGTGTCCCATGAGGATCGTACAGAGGATGATAAGTGTCTGAGTATCATAATCAACACATGACACTGGATAAACTTGTATTTACAGCTAGGCAATGAAGCGACTGCATTTTAGACCCAGTTTCCTCCAGTATCAAAGTCAATAAAAAGTGAGAATCAGGGGAGAATGAGGCTCTCACAACTGAAGGAGTGCTTCCAATTAAAAGCAGTGCAGCATTAGAGTAAGACTTACAAAGCCAGCATCTCTGCAGTGCACTGTGACTGAACTCAGAGACTGAGGGACAGGGTGAACTCCTCAAACTAAATTTAGCAATAGTCTTAGCCTTGACGGACAGTGCTCATGCAAGAGGGTAGACAGAAGGCAACACAGGCTGAGAACACCCTGCCTCCACCACTGGCAGAAGAAGAAGCAGGAAAGAGTGAGCTCTGTCCCACACAGGGAGTTGTGGCAAGGCTCTGACTCCTTTGCAGCAGTCAAGGTTGTTCCCTTTGGCCATCAGATCTGCCACTTGTGTACTTGTCCTGGTTTCAGCTGGGAAAGAGGTAATTTTCTTTCTGTCGATCACTGCGAAAGGCATCTCAATAATGCACTGTTTTAGTTGTTGCTAAGCAATGTTTACACTTTTCAAGGACTCTTTTCAGGTTCCCATAGAAGCCGAGAAAAAGCATAGACAGAACAACAGAATGGCCTATGCAATATTCTGTTCCACGGATGTCATGTTCGGTATATTAATGTGGTTGGCTGGTAGGGGAGGAACCTGTTATCACTGCTCTGGATGGTGCCAATTCACCAATTTACCAGGTGGTAAGAGTGACATGTGTCTTGTAAAATCTTTTAGTATTATTAGTATTATTATTATTGATACTTTCCTTTTCTGATATTGTTCTATTAAACTGTCTTTTTCTAAACCCATGAGGATTTTTTTTGCCTTTGCTTCCCCCTCCTTTTCTCCTTCTTCTCCCTACCCTTCTAGGGGGAATAGGGCAAACTGCGCAAGCTGCTGCATACCCCTGATTGCTGGCTGGGGTTAAACCACAACACTACTGAAGATCAATAAGGATAATTCAGGGCATGAGTCCCCACACTGCCATTCTGCATACTACTCTGACTGAAGATCATCCCTGGAGTTACATTGCTACCTGTTGGCAGCCTATCCCATAGATATCCCCAGAGATCTCCAAAGGGCAGAGTGATTCAGGGCTTCTCTGTAGGATACCAGAGCTCATACGAGGCAAGCATTTTTGGAGAGTGAAAATAAACTTTCTGCACTGGACCAACGCAAGCATAGGCATTGCTCAGCCCTAAAAAATAGGGAAAACAGTGAGACCTTCTGCATCACTAGCACATGACTGACAAAACAAGAGAGCGTGTGTTCCTCAGATCCCAGCCAGTCTCAATGCATGTTCACATGAGTAACTACAGCAGTCCAGTTGTCACTCCCTTAGTGCTACATAACAAAATAATAAACCAAAGGAAATGAAACCATATTAAAATACTGTTATTGCTGCCATAGTGGAACAGACCATTCAGCTCTCTAGTCTAGTACACTGCCTCAAGCAGCGGTTAGATACCTGATGATTCAGAGTATGAAGAATGGAAAACACAC